TTCTTGATGGTGTCATTTGAAGTACAAAAGTTTTTAATTTTGATGAAGTTCAGTCTTATTCTTCCTTTGTTACTTGTGTTTTGGTGTCATATCTAAAATTCATAGCCTTAACGCAGGATCAAAAATTTTCTCCTATATTTTCTTCTAACGGTTTTATAGTTATATATACATATATATATGGATATATGTATATATATCTCACTATTATATATATCTCACTAAATATATATATATATATATATTTAAAATTTTTTTCATTCCCCAATGAATCTACCAGAATACCAGAATCAGAGTAAACATCATACATAATGTTGAAATACTGCAAAATTCCTCTGAGATTGGGAAGGAGGAAGGATGTTTACTAACATCATTTCTATTGATTATTATACCGAAGGTTTTAACCAGTCCTACAAATCAAGAAAAGCAGATAAAAAACATAAGTAAAATGCATACAGATCAGAAGAGAAAAGATAAAACTGCCATTATTTGTATATGACATAATCTGTACCTATAAAGTCCAAAATAATAAATAGACAATTAAAATCAACAAATAGTTCAGCAAGTTCACTTGATAGTCCACATGATCATTACAAAACAAGCTATTATATTTTTATATACAATTTGGAAACTTAAGTTTGAAAGTGTTGCTATTTCTAATAGCATGAAAAATGTCAAATACCTAGGAATACTGAAAGATTTGTAAGAACTTTATAGAGAAATCTATAAAACTGTATTAAGAGAAATTAAATAAAACCTGAATAAATGGAATAATATGCCATGCAGATGGATTGGAATACTCAATAATGTGAATTATGTCCAAACTCCCCAAAATGATATATCCATTCAGTGTAATACCAATAAAAGTTCCAGAAGGTACCTAATAGAAATGGACATATGGAAATGCAAAGAGGAAATGTTGAAGAAAAGTGGGGAGGCCTACTCTCTCTGATACAAAAACATTACAAAGCTATCATAATTAGAACAGCACAGTAATGTTGCCAGGACAGACACAGACCAACAGAACCAAACAGAGATTCCAGAAATAGACATACATACATGGGTGCTTCATTTTTTACAAGGATGGCATTACAGAAGAATGGATAAAGGACAGTGTACAGTAAATAAGCTGGGTCAACTGATTATCCACGTTTAGAACAAATGAAATTATACATCTAACTTATTCTATACACAAAAAAGCAAAGCTAAGAGGATTATAGATTTAAATGTGAGGGCACGGATTGCATGGAGCACTGGGTGTGGTACAAAAACAATGAATACTGTTACGCTGAAAATAAATTAAAAATGATTAAAAAATAATAAATGTGAAAAGTAATGTAGGAGTATATTTTCAGCGTAGATGGACAAAATTCTCTTAACACTAATCATAATGGAAAAAATCATAATTTGGATTAAATTAGGGATCTTCATGTCAAAAGACATTGGTAATATATATGAAAAACACAGGGTTAAGATTCTTATTAAGTAAATGCTTCTTAAAAATAATAATAAAAAGATTAAAAGCTACTACCCCACTCAAAAATGATCAGGAAACTCATAACTATCTATATGAGATTATCCATAGTCGATGAACATACTAATAAGTGTTCACTCTCACTAGAGAGTAGACATAAAAAGAAATAAAATTTTTTAATCTAGCAGATTGGCAAACATATAAATAACAATAATTAAATTTAGTAGTAGCCAAGATTTGAGCACTCCCACAAATTCTTAGTGGGAATTGAAATTGGATACATTTTTTGGAAGCTATTTTGTAATGTATCTCAAAATCCTTAAAATATCTATGTATCCTTGACCCAACAATTCTACTTCTAGAAATTTATCCTAAAGAAAAAAATCAAACCACTTTGAACAAATGGATTTCATCACTGCAATGCTTACATAACAAGAAATTGGGAGAGAAAACAGGGGATTGGCTAAATTTGTTATGATAATCCACACAATAAGACACTAACACTAATTTAAATCAAGAATCTCCACCTAAGACATCTACAGAGTCAGGAGGTGACATAAATGAGAGAAGAAGCTCTTTGGCAAACTGGGCAGCACATGCCCCTCTTGGAGGAGGTGGCTTCAATTGATGACAAATAAGATTTGGAGAGGTGTGGAAGGGTATCTAGTGTCATCAGAATACCCAATGGTTTAGAAGGGGAAATTAAACTTGGATGTGAAATTTCCGGATTTTTGAAAATTGCCTATTATTTAAAATTTTTTGAAAAAGATTCAGTGACCAAATAAAACACGTTATTCGCATACTAGATTCAATTCAAAGGCTGAGAGCCCCCATGTCCATATAGATTTATTGACAAAAAGTGATTCATGATGTATTGTCTTTATTGTGTAAAAAGATTATTACAAAAACACTTTATATAATGTAATCTCACTTTTCTTAAAAATCAAAGCATATTTAGATGTATGTATAATCAAAGCATGCTCAGTGTCTGAAGGGGTATAAATCTAAATGTTAATGGGGGTGATTGTTTTACAGATCTGTTTTTGCGTGTTTAATATTGATCATTAGCGTTTTACTATCAAAGAATACAATAACGTTCCTTTCATTTTTGGTTATAAGGGAAAGAGTTAGCACTTTAGTTTAAAATTATGAGAATTAAACTGAAAATCAAAACCACTGAACCAATACTCTTGCACATAAAATCAGACAAACCAGAATCCAAAGTCGATTCTTCCATTTACTCTATCAGTGGCTCTGTCAGCGATGATGTGTACCATCTGTGCTTCAAAACTAATGTAAATTAATTGGCAATGTAAAAATTAATAAACAAAAACAGAAATAGTATCTACCATTATCTTCCTAGTACTGCTGAAAGCTAAGTGGACAGAAGGAGGATTTTTCTACTGCAGTACAAGTCTGGAAAGAAGACAGACACTGGCAGGATGTAATAATGTAAAAAGTTTTGTTTGTTTTTATTATTCTATCCAGAGGCAAGACCATTCTCGAAATCTAACACTCATCCTGCCCCACCCCTCACTCCCTGACTAGCAATCATACCCAACACAGTGGAGTAGAGAATGGCAGACAACCCATGGCCAGAAGTAGCATTACATGAGGTGGAACCCGTATCATGTTCTCAAGAATACTTGTGTTTTGTATTATTCTGTTTTTCAAACTCTATTTAAACTAAAAACAAAAACAGTTCAAGAGCATTTGGGCAAGTTTCTAAGTGTAAGTGGAACTTCAAGACAAGTAGAATAAACCAGGGAAGCCACTTTTAAGGATTGGCTTTGACCCTCAAGTAACGAAATTAATAATATTCTTTGAGTGTTTTCACTCTTCATCTTCTCTTCCCACCTCTCTGTACCACCAGGAAAGGCCAGGACTTCTCTGAATAGAATTCAAGGAGGTGAAGAGGTCCACAGGTGAAACCAACAAATTGATTGATATAAAATGGGTTTTTTTCAGTCTCTATCACCTGCTTTTCATCATAAGGAGTTTAGACACTTGCATTCTACTATTCCTTTTACTGCGCAGGTTAAGTGTAATGGAGGGTAAAGAAATTTTTTCAGGCAATTGTAGTACCATTGGAAACCTACCTTAAAATGAGCTCATGAACCTCCCCAAGTGCCCAGTTTGAAACCCAAGGAGAAATTTCACCATATTTGGTCCACAGAAATATCATACCCTTTGAGATATTTTTAATATAATGTCATTATATTTCATTATTTTCATTTTTTTCTTTCAATGAATTCACAATAAAGGAAAACAATAAAAGTGTTGTTTCATATCTTTACTTTCAGTAATGTGCAACATGAACATAATAGTGTTAAGAAGTCAGAAATAACTTAACACGGTAGCTACAGAAGATGCTTCTATTTGCAAAATGTCAACAATTATCTTCCTTAGGTTCCCCCAAAACTGGTGTATTTGTTAATCAAATTAATTAAGAAGCTTTTCAAAATAAAAGCAATGTTTTAAATAAATATATTTTCATAACCATAGAACATTTAGTTCTTCTGGAGGTAACAAACATATTACACTCAAGTACTTTATGAAGATATTAGGGTAAAAATTATCTGGATGCAATTATAAATGTACCCTAATTAGTTTGCTTCTTTTGTGTGTATGTTTTTGTTCATGTATTAAAATTGTATCATATTTATAATCAGTTCTTAAATCATCACAAAGATGTTATCTGGCCCACAGAATTTATATGAGCTCAACATGATAATGTGGTATTGTTTGAACCATGTCTTTCAATTTAAATTTAGTAAAATAAATTATATTTAATCAAAGACAAGACCTCCTAGCTGCTCATGTCCACTATAGAAAATGAATGCTAGATTCCCAGTTTGGAAGAATGAGACCTTCCAAAAAAATCTCAACCTTGAAATTTTATAACTGAAAATAATGTCACATTAAAATCCCAATTACAACAGAGCTCTCACTGTGTTTCAGAGTTCCACACAGGTGGATATAAATTCATTTACGATCAGCTTTTCCATTGAAATCATACACTTATTAAACAACTACCAAAAAACTTTCTAAAAATTGATTTGATTTAATGAATACTTTAAAGAGTTTCTAACTGAAGAAATGATTTTGCTGACCTCAGAAATTCTGATCATTTGTTTATCTTTCACTCACTTTTATTTCTACTGCAATTCTTGGGAATTTTTCTAATCTATATTTAATCTACCAAAACATCTATGCATTGGTAAATTTGGCTTCCTTTGATAATAACCTATGTTAAAATCTCTAAATTGAATGACAAAGTAAAGTAAACACAGTAACTGGTTATAGTAAGTGCTCTTTAGAATTTCAGATTAACAAATTTGTCCCAAAATGATAAGGTAATGACCTACTGAATGAATAATGCAACATAGACTAGATTTTCATAGGATCTCGATCTCTCTCAATCTCTTTTCCTCTCTCTGTCACTTTCTGGCTCTTCCTTTCTTTCTTTTGTTCTCTCTCCCTCTCTCTCTCTCTCTCTGTCTCTGTTTCTCTCTCTCTCTCACACACACACACACATACACACACGCTCCCATCCACATCCATACGTGGGTAGGTACACATCTCAGAATTTTAAACACCGCTACTAAAGGTTTTAACTTAGATAAATTAACTACATTAAAATACTGACATTGTGAAAATATCTATGTCCAACACCCCACAGAGGGCATCTTTTTGTGAACTTCTAAAAAGCTTAAAGAAAGAAAACCAGAAAGAAAAACCAGAGTCCTCGGGGCGAAGGCTGGGTGAGCGTGTCGGCACTGCTCATGGTCACAGCTTCCCATTCTCCTCGCTGCTCTCCTTCTCCTCTATGGCTTCCAGGCTGCGTTTGCTCTTGGCTTCTGCACCACTGCTGGGTGCTTTACTAAGTCCACAGGACAGGCACGCCAGCTGGATCTGCTTCATGTTTTCTACAGCTTCATTCTTGGCGTTCTTCAACAGATCTCCTTGGCCCTACAAACAAGGACAAATATATACCAAAGAAGAAAGTTATGGACCAGGCGTACCCTGAGTGACATTACTCTATATATTAGTGCTACTCCTCAGTGAGGAAATGGACCCGGAACCTCAGAGCCTGGGAATACCCCCGGGCTTTTTTCTAGCACTGTTCAGGGTCTTGCTCTTTAAGCCAGGGACCTCAACCTGGGCCTTCCTTCCCAATCAGGTCTGTGGTTGCCACTAGCCTCTTGAGATTCCTGCAATGAGGAATAACCTGGGGGCCAGAGGTGGGGGGGGCTACTCGGCATTATGAGGATGATGCACCATCCCTTTCCATGGTCTGAGACTTTGAAACTGCTGCAACTCCTGTCCCACCCAGGCCAAGCATTCCTAGGCTTGGGAGAAAACAAGGAAAGAAGCTCCTCTTTAAAGAACTGAAAATTAAATCAGCCCCTCAATGTACAAGAGCTTACAAAGCAAAACATCTTCTGTAGAGTAAATCACACTCCATTATGCTTAGTAATCTGGGTTTTTATATATTGGGTTATCCTTGCAACCTGCCTTTTAATAAATTATTAGTTACCCACATTCCTTCTGTCTTTTCCATCACCCTAAAGACAATGTTTCCTTCTGGGTGATGGGGGGGTGGGGGGGAAAGGGCTCCGGAGCCTCAGCATGTCTATCAAAACAAAAAGCAAATGAGGATCACAGGAAACCATCCGCTCTCAGGAACATCAGCACTTGAGAAAGACTTTCTCTCTCTTTTTTTTTAATTTCTTATTTTACTTATTTGTTAATAATGATCGGGTGTATAAGGCACCCGATGGACCAAGTGTGGAGAAGCCAGAACCTACTCCCACGGGGCACAGATGAAAGAGGAAATGGTCCTTCCTCTCTTCCCTCTCCATTCTCACGGCAGTGGTAAGGTGACCCCGAACTGCAGGGGACAGTGAGGGAGGATGTGGAGTTGACACTGATGGCTGGAGAGTTGTTCCACAAAGCATAGACTCGGCAAAAGGATAAGTCACTTATTTTGTCCAATGTGCTCCATGAGACGCTGTTTAATTTGAGGAGTGGTTTTTCCTCAGGATGTCTGATGAAACATGTTGAAAAATGCCACAGCATATTCTATTCCTCAAAATCTACACAAGCACTTGCCAATCTTACCTATGTAATAATAGCAAAATCCTTCTAATAACAGGATTTAACTGAATGGGATGCACAAGGATGGCTTTGCCTAATATTTTTCTTAAAGTGGACTTACCCCAATCACTTCAGTCATGGAACAGGATTTTATAAGCAGACGTGGAAGTTTTATAGTCTAGCCTTCTCGTGAGGAGAAAAGAGGCAGAACCTGAGGAGGTTTAATGACTGACCCAAAGTCACAGCTGGGAAATGACTGACCTGGACCAACACCTCCATCCAGTGTCCTATTTCCCACACCACTAAAGACTAGAAAATGAACACTGTCACATAGAGATGGATTTTCTAAGGGAAAAATATTCACTATGCCAGCAGAATCTGGGGAGTCAGCTCTGAACAGTGATGAGTACCCTCGGGGCAGTGAAAAACAAAGTCACATCCACTCTGAAAAATGCAATTCTTAAATAGTAATAATAATACATATAAAGTGCTTACTCTGTACAGGCACTCTTTTTTGTGCTTTACATATGTTCATTCATTCAATTGTCAGAGAAACCCTACAAAGATAGACACTTTTCTTATTCTTGGTTTCTTGATGGAAAAAAAAACAACAACAACAACAAAAACAAACAAACAAACAGCTAAGGCCCAGAGCGGTGCCCTTTCCCAGAGTCATGCAACAGCTATGTGGTCGAGAAGGGGATTCAATAAAGTCCAGCAGTTGGCTCTAGTTACCCACTGTATGATACAGTTTCTCCTTAAGGAAAATCGTGCAATTTCTCCAAAACACATTAGAGCCTCCCATTCATTGTTTCATGTATTCGCCCATGAAAACAACACAGATGTAAAGAAATCATTGCTCTTGTGGCAAGTCTGACAGATCAGGTGCACCAAGGGCATGCTGGCAGGGACAAAAGTCAAGCTATCTTAGTTTTGCTCTTAGCTCCAACAATTTCTCCCTGAGCCACGGGCTCTTCTGTAAACATGAAAATAGTCTTCTGCCTTCTTCACAGTGCTAAAGATTAAAGAAAATACGTTGAAGAGTTGTCTGTAATTTAGATAATCACAAGTAAACTATGCTATAAGGTGATGTGAAAAGTGGGTATCACAGTCTGCTACTATAATGAATTACCTTGGTACTGTACAAATGTTAATATATAAATTTTACTAATCTGTTTAAAATGAATCTGCAAGAGTCTGTTTTACAGAGATAGGCATATTGCTGCTGGTTTTACAAAGTGAAAGATTCCTTTAAAAACCAAACTCTATTAATAAAAAGATCAGATCCACACTCATTTTCAGTGTTACTTTTAAGAGATCGTTTTCCTTTTAGTTTTTAAAGTTTCATTAAGCATTTTAAAATTGCAACAAAAGCAAAATTGGCATCTTCCCTAACTGCAAGAGAAGAGTGAAAGATGCAAAAATATCAGCTTGATGCTGCTAATGCCTAGTGCTCTCCCTTTCCTTGTTCCGAGGCGGGTTATGAAATCTATCTAATTAATCAGCCAGAAGGCCGTCTCATCAGTTCCAAGAGGTGGCATCCAGGCCTGCATGCCAGACTGTGCTAGTTCTGGTACACAGAAGTCCCTCTCTCCAGAAAACAATGGCCAATTGGAGAAAACACTTTGTGCCAGTGCACGAAAACACAACTACATCATCTCCTGATAACCAGGAGACAACGCATCCTGGCTGAATCACACAGGCAGAAAAGAAATAGAAAGAGAAACCCAATTGTTAACTAATAGAAGAAGACAAAATGAGAGACTAATTCTACATTTAAATTTTTACTTTTTATATTGAAATATTTATGTAAAAATTTTTTTCTGTTCTTTAAAGAAGGAAGAATTAAGGACATCTTTCTGTTCTGTGGCTCAAGGATATCAGAACAAGGAAAGACACATACCAGGCAAAACTGTAAAAAGAGTGAGGTTTATTGTTAACAACCCCCATCCTGACATTCATTTTTAGTGCTTTTTCCCATTTTATGCACAGCAATTACTCCTGGCCAATGAGCATCCATCTCTCCACTCTGTTACGCTCCCTCTCAAACTCTTAACAAGCCAGCCTATACGGTATCTCCTCTTTCAAACACCTTTGTCCTATATATCATTTCTTATAAGATGTATTGGGTATTCAGATCCTCTGATCAATTTAACGGGATTAGTGTGCTGTGTGTATTTAACGAGTACTGTAACAGGTGTTTCCAAAGAAATATGCTCAAAAAATTTCTTCAAGTAGAGGTCTTGGGAGAGAAGGAGGAGATAGAGAATTTTACTTGGTGTTATATAAATCAAAACACTTCTCAGATATGAAAATACCTCTGGGATTGTTATGGCCTGGAATGTAAAATTGGTGTACAATGTGATCACTGAATGTTCAACTTGAAAGAAATGTCAAGCTTCTACCAATGTTTTGATATTCTAGCAATCTCATGGCATTTTATAGTTTCCCTCCTCTGATGTTAGGGATGCTTCAGGGAGCAAAAATGAGGACCGCTTTAACCTAAAGAAAAGCAGAAATAGTAGAAAGCATCTCAGGCAGACTGATGCTGATGGGACAGCAGAACTATCAAAAGTCTCAAGGGCAATGGCCACCAATTCAGCCTCCACAATTACTTGGTTTCCAAAATTAAGAGTTCATGGAAATCCTTGCATATTTAAGGAGTAACTCTTGGCATCACAGAAAACCATAGAGAGATCACTATAGGGATTTTGAATCTAAGAATTAGTGATGATTAATGAATTTTTAAAGAGGTTAAGCAGTCATAACCAAATCCTTACAACTGTATTAAATTGAGATTAAAACACATTATCTAGAAATCAAGAAATATCTGATGCAATTTAGATTATAAATGGGCTTATTGTACAATGCCACAATTTTTATTACTACTAATAAACTTATTACTGACAGTAAAATATTATCATAACCCTAAACAGAAGCTAACATTTATTGAACACTTAAATATACTAAGTATAAGCAAATTTGCACAGATTATCTCATTATGTCATAACTATAAAAAACCGGAATTCTAAATGTAAGGAATTTATTAGTTATATATTTGGAAGTTATCTATTAAGAATATATTTTATTATCTGTCAAAAGACATTCAGGATTTTTATTATTCCTTTCCTACTAAGAAAGGCAACTCCCTCCCTTTCCAACACAGTTCAAAAATAATTTTGACTATAATCTGGCAAAATAACTTACAGAAGACATCCATGATTCCTTCACACCCATTTTTCCCATGAACTGCACTATCTCTTGTGTTATTAGTGCATAAAAGAGCAGGAGAACATCAAGACTAGTGTCCTTGTCACATGTGAAGGAAATGTGTGGGTTGTCTCAAAGCACACCACAAATATTTAAAGAAGCTAATGAGACTCTGGGAATGGATACACCCTCACATATACACATCTACACACATAAACAAATGGAGCTCTGTCTCCAGACTTGTGTGGGTATTTTTCAGCACATACTCAATGGCAGATTGATTCCCCGATACTCTTTCATGTGAGGGTCCACACCTGCAGTTAGTGTCAATAGCTATGAACAAACAATACTGTAGGAAAAGTCAGTCACAGTCAGCATGATGGAATTAGCACCTCTTTATTTGTGCCGGCTACCATGTTCTGGACAAAATCATGCAATGGTGAGTCGTGCCCTACCACCATTTTACTAGTTCAAAAACCATGCTTTTGGGGAATCTCTGTATTATCTGAAGAGGCTAAATGTTTTGTTCCAAAGGGGTAGAAGTAACTTCCACAATGTTCTTCATTTGAGGAATTAAAACAGCAGATCAAAAATGCGGTGATATCATAACAGATGTACTTGTCTTAATGTGACATTTCTAGAATATTGGGTAAATCTCTGCA